ATATGTTTCGCTCGTTGGTCTAGGCTGGGCTGTACTTGTGTATATATACTCCTGTATGATTCTGACCCTATGGAATTTAACCACTTTTTGCCTCCACCATCCCTTCTATGAATAGTACTGCTTAGGCATCTCATAGCGCATTGTGAAAATTAATTCATTTTCTGAAAAACACTTCAAAATCTTTAGGCAGACAGTGCAAACAAGCATTTGCTTAAGCACTATGCACTTTCTGCCTGAAATGTTTATTATTTGTGTTTCTTGAGCATTATTGTATCTTGTGCATTGTTATGTATTTCACACTAACTTTGGTACAAAGGAGATAATGAAAGATTTAAATGTATTCAGATTTTGATTAAATTAATGTGTGCATTCCACTCCCCAGTAATATTAAGAGACAGTTCTGTGTACAACCAAGGGCAAGATACTTTTGTAAAGTTATAACCAATCTATTTACATGCTTAATCAGACCAGTCTAAAATGAAAGGTGTACCAGCCAACCCATTCCCAACTGACCCATTCAGACCTGTTATTTGGATAACCAACAATTCAAACATAATTTACAGACCTAAGGATATTGTAATGCTGGGGACTGGTAGATAGGAATGTTTATACCTCTACTTTGGTTTAAAACAATAAGCCTCATCAAACAGTTAAACAACTTTTCAGTTATTTCGGTAGGGTTGTACAATCTTTCTTCTCTCCTAGAAGACTCAAGACTCAAATTCTTTCAAAGAAAAACAAACTGAGTCAATATACAGGGGGACTTTAATTCTGTATTTGATAGCAAGTCTGTGTATGATCCTCCTGTAAAACTTCACCACTTCCTCTCACACTGTAGGTACCCATTTAAACAAAAATAAAGAGAGACTACTACATCTGTTAACATCAATAGCCTAAGACTCCAAAGTGCTTCCTAAAAATGAGACAAAATGGGACAAAACCATAACCAAGACTGCATATGTTCTATAGCAAGCAAAACCCAAATTCTGTAGCAGGACAACTGGCTTCTACAGCATTCAAGTCCAGCAGACCAGATATTTTGCAGCAAATGCAGGGAAAAACTGATAAGCTAGGGTTTGAGTTTAATTAAATATGAAACATTCTATACCCAGTACAATCTCTCTTGTGATATTTAGCAATCTACCTCTCTACATAGTTTCACTGTATTACTTTTAGTACCCAAGGTGACAAAGTGCAACAAAGAAGTTGTAAAGAGGTGTTGGCTGTTTGAAGGAGGACAATGAGCAGCTTTTGGGACTTGTGAAGTTTGGAATAGTGGGACTATTTGATGTCCTCACGATGTCGCGGTGTAGACTGCCAGTCTCTATGGGTCGCCTGCAGATGGCGGCCGGCGGTGAACGTGCATCCCGCACCCCCGATGGGGTGCGGGGAGGGAACGGATGTTAAAACCACCCCTGGAGGGGTAGCTCCCACTGGTCGTTGTCGTCGGTCAGCGTGTCACTGCGGCGAGGGACAACCAGCACCAGAAGACATCAGCTAAAAACAGTTTGGATAAGGGCAGCTTGTTGGCATCTGGCGCTTGATGTCTTCCTGGCGGTTTTCTAAAAGGCTAAAAGCTTAAAAGCGTAAAAAAGCTAAAAGCCTAAAACCGCCACAGGGCCACCACTGGGTAGGGCGACCAGCGCCTTAAAAAATAGGAATAGCACATTACTTCTATGCTCCTACAACAAAGGTCAGCAAAGAAAGAGTTCTAAAAAACCACTGTCATTAAGTTGTCATCTTTAGATTTCAAAATCTGCATACCAAAGGAGATGGATGTTCATAGTTTCATTAGAATTACTATTTCCCCCCTGCACATTTGTAGGAAATGCTATTACATAGGTTTATGCTCACTTCATTTTTAAGAAATTCCTTTGTTACCAAAAGCAACTGTCTTAAAGTTAAAAATACTGATTTCAGAGCATGACGCCACAGAAAAAGGGCGATTCCACAGCCACATCTGCATTTGCAGTATAATGCCACTGACAGGGCCCAAGAGGCTCATAACCAGGTGGGATTTAGTCGCAACAATCTCA